GGCCGCCCGGCGCCCCGAGCAGCCCAAGCCGGGGCGCGCAGCCGGGGCGCAACCCGCGCCCCCCGCCGCGACTGACATGATGTTTCCACAAAGCAGGCATTCGGTAAGTGGGGCCCCGATCCGGGACTCTTCTTCGGGGCCGCAGCCGACCCCAGACCCTGCGCCCCACACCCCTCTCGCGCCCTGAGCCCGGGATCCTGCGCCCCCAGATCCCGGCCCTGACTCCCCTCTGCCCGGAGCCTCGGGCTCTGCGCCCCGACTCCCACAGCTGCCGGCCCCACAACCCCCCAACTCAGGACTCTGCACCCTGATCCCTTAGCTGCAGGCCGCGCGTCCCCCCCAACTCGAGGCCTTGCGGCCCCCCCAGCTCCAGGCCTCGCACCCCCAAGCTCCAGGTTCTGCGTCCCAGCTCCAGGTCCTGCGCGCTGACCCCCCCCACCATGCAGCCAGCCCTGCACCCACCGAGGTCCTGCGGCCCAGGCCTCCCACCCCAGCGGCCCCCCCAACTCCTAGGCCTGGTCTCTAGTTTGGGCCCAACGCAACCCCCCCACCTCTGTTTCCAGTTCTCGGACACCCCCTCCTGTTCCCAGAGGTCCCCCAGCTTTCAGAGCCAGTGCCCCCCCTCTAGCTCTCCCCGGGTGCCCCCCACCGTGCAGGGCCGGGCCTCCGACAGCCTTGGCCGAGGGCCTGGGGCGCTCTGGGCACCCCGCCAGGCACCTCTAGCGCGAGGCTGCTGTAAGGGCCTGCGGGAGCGGGGTGGGGGACCGAATTGCACCCCTCCCGGAAGGAAGAAGGGTGCAGAAATCTGGGGTTCCCCCCTGGATGTTTTGGGCGCTAAGCGAGGCCCCACCTCCAAGGGACTCTCGGGAAGGCCTCGATTCTCCCCTAATTGGAGGGGCTCCTCGCTCCTCGGACCCTCACCAGGGGCAATTAGGGCGCTGCCAAGTGCACCCAAGGCTTCAGTAGAGGGCGCACTCTGCCCCCCACGGGCGGCCTTAAAGTGCACCCTACGGCCTGGGGGGGCGCAGCAGAGGAGGAGCCCTGCCCGCCACCCCCACTCTGGGTTCCTGAAGAGGCAGGGGCAGGAAGGGGGGGCTGTAAACAGGGCCCAGGAAGTGGGGCGCCGGCGGCGAGGGCGGGTGGCGCAGCTGTAGGGCAGGCCTAGCAGGGAGGGCAGTGCGTGACCCCGGCTGCCCCCTCCCCACGCGCAGGGCTCCTCGCACCTCCCCCAGCAGCTCAAATTCACCACCTCCGACTCCTGCGACCGCATCAAAGACGAGTTCCAGCTCCTACAGGCCCAGTACCACAGGTGAGAGGGACTTCGGGACCCGTCCTCTGCTTACACACGTAGGGAGAGGGCCTGGGTGCGCAGCCCAGCGCTTCTGCCAAGCAGCCCCCATTTCACAGACGAGGAAATTGAATCACAGTGTGAATCTGCTAAAAAACAAACAAACAAAAAAACCCCAACAGGCCTAGAAGACTTCAGTGCCTTCCCCGCCCCCCAATGTCCGTTGTGGAAAAGCCCTCCCAGGCTCTGGGATCAGGGCAAGGACCACCACTGCCTGGTAGAAAAAGGCTGCCCCCTTGGGCCGGCTCTTGCCCCATTTCTTAAAGCTTTGCTCTGTGCAGAGTCTCAGGGACAGGATCCCTTACTGTCCTTCAGCCCAGAGAGGTTAAGGAGTTGCCGAAGGATGCACAGCAGAGGGGGTGGCAGAGTGAGACTGGGATCTCCTGGCCACACAGGTCGTGTGCCAGTGGCCTCAGGCCCTGTGGTGCGGTTTTAGGTAGTGCCCCAAAGTGTTCTCAGAAAACCTGGAAGAAAGAGGAGTAGGTTTTTTTTGTTTTTTGTAGAATTACCTGACCTCTGGGTGGTTCCTGAGGGCTAAGAATTGAGCATATATTCTTCTGCCCCCTTTTTTCTCTTTCTTTCTTTCTTTCTTTCTTTCTTTCTTTCTTTCTTTCTTTCTCTTTCTTTTAGTTCTGAGGATGGACCCTTCAAATGCTAGGCAAATGCTCCCCGCTGGACCAGACCCCAGCTTTTATTAGTTGTTTTTTTGTTTTGTTTTGTTTTGTTTTTTGCAGAAACGGGGATTGAACTCAGGCCCTTGCACTTGCCAGGGAAGCGCTTATTCCACTGAGCCATCTCCCCGGCCCCTATTAGTTGTGCTTTTCAGAGGGGGTCTTGTCAGATGATACTACAGGGCTCTGTGACCTCCCAGTCACCAGACACCCTGAGCTTTAGGGTCTCCATTGGACTTTGGGGCTCTCACTATGTAGAGTATAGGTCCTAAATGTTGGGGGTGTGTTCGGAACCAACTAGAAATGAACAGGGCAGAAATCCAGAGCTTTGGGTGAAGTTGCTGGCACACTATCCCAGAACTCCATCCCTGACCATTTTTATTCTGAGACAGGGTCTCACTGTACAGCTCAGCCTGGCCTTGAGCTCACTAGATAGCCCAGGCTGGTCTCAAACTTGCAAGGATCTTCCTGTCTCAGCTTCCTGACTGCAGGGATTACAGGCATGTGCTACCATGCCCGGTTCTAGCTTCATTCTTTAGCTTTTTCTTTCTTTCTTGTTTTGGTACCAGGATTCAAATGTATAACCTCACATTTACCAGGCAGGTGCTGTGCCACTGAGCTACCTCCCCAGCCTGTCTTTTGCTTTTTTTTTAAAGGAAGCAACAAATGCACATTTTAATTTTTAAAATATTTTTTTTTATCATTTTTGATACCAGGACTCAAACTCAGGACCTACCTCGTGCTTGCCAGGCAGGACCTGTGGTGTTAAGCTATATTGCCAACCTAATATCTTTATTTTCAAGCTGGGCCTGCTGACCTGTGATCGTAGCACTCTGGGAGAAAAATACCAGGCTCTTGGGTACAGACAGGCTCAGAAATGTTCATGGAATTCTAGCTGTATGTGAAACACTGTTGTTTGGTTTTTTCATTTGGGTGTTTTGAGGTAAAGTATACATGGTATCCCAGGCTGGCCTCAAATTCATAGTCACCCTCCTGCCTCAGTCTCCCAAGTGCTGAGATTACTGGCATACGCCACCACACCTGACAGTTTTGGGTAGGTGAAACACTGTTTAAGAACTTTTCTTTGTAATCCCAGCACTTGGGAGGCCGAAAGCAGGAAGATCACTATGAGTCCTATTTGTGTAGTGAGACCCTATAGATCCTGTACTAAATACATTTTATTGTTTGTTTGTTTTTTGTTTTGTTTTGTTTTTGGCAGAACCAGGGATTGAACTTAGGCCCTTGCACTTGGCAAGGAAGCGCTTAATCCACTGAGCCATCTCCCCGGCCCTACTAAATACATTTTAAAAAAAACCTTTTTTTTTTTCTCTTACCTCAGTTTATTAACCCTCACCACCTACTGTGGGAGGCTGGTACTTAACAAAGGAGGAAACTGAGGCCCAGAAAGGTTAAGGAACCTTCCTATAGTCACATAGTATAGAGCAGGGGGCATACTGCTGTCATCCCAGCACTTGGAAGGCTGAGGCAGGAGGGTCACAGAGTTCCAGACCACTCTGGGCTACATAGTTCAAGTCATCTGCATAGTCAGACCTGTCTCAAACAGACAAACCAAAAAGAAATAACAGGCCGGGGAGATGGCTCAGTAGGATAAGCGCTTGACTGGCAAACAAAGGATCTGAGTTCAATCCCCGGTTCCAACAACAACAACAAAAAAATAACAAGGGCTGGGGAAATGGGTGTGGCAGCCCACTTTGTAGTTTCAGCACTCTAGGAGGCTGAGGCAGGAGGATCTCCATATTCAGCTTCCCCGTGGACTACTTAGTAGTTTAGTGAGCTCCTCTCTAAAAGTAAGGGAGATAACTCAGTGACCTAAGTACTTGCCTGGCATGCACAAGGTCCCAAGTTCGATCCCTGGTGCTGCAAAAAGAGTAAAAATAAAATAAGACTGGGGATGTAGCTTAGTGCCCTGGGTTCCATCCCTGGTGCCCAAGGAAAAAACAGCAAGAGGCCTGTTCACCCAGCCTGTGGGACTGAGACCCGCGTGATCTGATGCAAATCCCCAAAGGACAGATGCTTTTATTTTCCTTTAGATGGGCCTGACAAGAACCCAGGGCCTTTGCACTGAGCTCCATCCCTGTCCTCATCTGGGTTTATTCTGAGACAGGGTCTCTCTGAGTCACCGAGTTGCCCAGGCCAGGCTGGAATTTGCAACCCTCCCACCTCAGCCTCCTGGTGCTAGGATAACAGGCAAGCACCACCACACTTGACAGACCCAAAGGCTTCAGTTCCCACTGCCTTGTGGCCTTCTGGGGCCTCTGAGAAGGCCCCCCCCCAGGTGGCCTCCCTGGGACTGCTGAAGGAAGCTGCGTCCAGTCACCCCCCCCCAGGGTACAAGCGGGAGTACAAGTATGCAGTGGCTCCTGTCTCCTCATCTCCCAGGACCCTGGAACCCTTGGGGTGCAGCACGCACTCCTAAACTGTTCCGGGTTGTCTGGGCACTGGGCTGCTTCCTGCTTTGTGACCTTGAGGTGGTTCTTCACTCAGTGGTATCCACTGAGTCACGTGAGACGCTCCCCACGTGGTGAGATCCTGCTGACCTTAGGGAGCCTCTGAGAGCCCCGCTCTGACTGTGGTCTTTTCGGGGGGGGGGGGCATACTAGGGATGCAACCCAGTCTTCACACTGAGCTCCACTCCCGTTCATATTTTTCTTATTGCATTTGCCCAGGCTGTACTCAAACTTGAGATGCTCCTGCCTCAGCCTCCCAACCACCAGACCCAGTGCTTTTTATTATTTGTTTGCTTTTCTGCTCTCAGAGCTGCCAAGCTGGCTTCATAATCTTCCATTTTACAGTTAGAGAAACTGAGGCTCCTGCCCCTACCAGTGAGAACCTCACTGTGCCCCTTAATCCAGCCCCTATCAGTTCGGCAGCCTGCAGTGCATTGTGCCCTTGCCAGGGACCCAGTGGGGACCCAGGCCTGGTGGCCTCCGCCCCAAGTTTCACTGCCCCTCTCTGCCCTTAGCCTGAAGCTGGAATGTGACAAGCTGGCCAGTGAGAAGTCGGAGATGCAGCGTCACTACGTCATGGTGAGGGCCTGGCACCCGGGTGGGGACGAGAACCCGCTCTGCCCTCTGCGCCGCCAGCCCCGCTGGTCTGGCCGCCCGCCCGTGGTGGTCAAGGTGCCAAACCGCCACCCCCCCTGCCAGGTCCCGGCTGTCCTTGGCAGCCGCTGGAGGAGGCGGCACCAGGAACTGACGCGGGCATCTGTCCCTCCGCCCCCTCAGTGCACGGTTAACCCCTCTATGCCCAGGCTGGGTGCTGTCACCACCGTGGTGTGACCTGTCCCCTGCCTGCTGCTTCCAGCCCTGCCTGCCCACACTGTGGCAACCAAAGCCCCTGCATCCACACCCGTGTAGCCTCCAGGCCAGCAGGGCCAGGGCCCCAGATCCGACCTAGGCTGCGGGACAGACAGGGCCATGTGCTGAGAAGGCACTGAGTAAAGGGGGCTGCGTGGGACACAGCGGCTGGGGCCTTGAAGAATGCGTAGGAGACCACTAAGCAGAGATGGGGCAAAGGCCAGCCAATCCTACAAACTTGGATTTCTCCAGTAGGAGCCACTGGAGGGTTTAGAGTAGAGGAGGGAGGGGCAGGTTCAGATCTAGAGCTTCACTAGAGGGGGCCTGCCGGGCCCCAGAAGCCGACCCAGCAGGCTTTGTTTACCCTGGATGATTTATCCCCGGGAGGCTGCCTTCCCTGGGGCCGGGGCCACCCGCAGACAGGACATGGCGAGATAAAAGATTGAGGCTTGGAATGTGTGGGGGAGGGGCGGCGCGGCCCTGCCCTGCCCTGGGCTCCCCCACCTGCCCGCCGTCGCCCTCCGCTTTGCCTAGGTCTTGATGCCGTCCCGCCCCCGTCTTCTCTCGCCCCTTCCAGTACTATGAGATGTCCTACGGCTTGAACATCGAGATGCACAAGCAGGTAGGGACTCCACTCCTGTGCCCTCTGCCCCTTGGGCGGTAACCCCACCAGACAAGCCCATCCCTGCCCCTTTCCTTGTCTTTGTCATATTTTGCGGTAGGGGAATGGAACCCTGAGCCTGGCAAGGAGCTCGGTTCCCAGCGCTTTATAGTTTTCCTTTGGCGATAGGAGGGTCTTGCCTGGTGGCTACATTGCCTGGGCTGGGCTGAAATTTGAGATCATCCTGCCTCAGCCTCTGGGGTGGCAGTTGTGAGCCACTGTTCCATGCTGTCCAAGTTCCTTTCCTCCTGCTGCACTGGGAGTATTTTCTCCTGGAGCTGAAGTGTCCCATCCTTCCATATCTCTCCCTGGTGACATGGGAAGGATGACAGTGACCCCTGTACCCCTCCCCTGCCTTCACCCAGTCCTAAACCTCAAGGGGCCTTACTGTCCCCACCCTGTGCCCTCACTGTCATTCACAGGCGGAGATCGTCAAGAGGCTGAATGGCATCTGTGCCCAAGTCCTGCCCTACCTCTCCCAGGAGGTAAGCCGCCCTGGGGGGCCTCAGACCCTGCCCTTGGGCTGTGGGATTCACCAGTCACCAGATGGCACCAGGATTCCACCCCAACCCCTCCCTTACAGCCAGGCCTTTGCACTGACCTACACCCCTGCCCTTTGTGTTTTCAGACACAGTCTTGCTAAATTGTCCAGGTTAGTCTTCAACTTGAGCTCCTCCTGCCTCAGCCTCCAGTAGCTGGGATCAGTCATCTGTCACCTGTCACCATGTGGTTCATTTCCTCTCTGGGCCTTGCCCCATCTTAGGGATTACTCGGGGCTAGTCCTAGAAGGACACAGGGACAGTTCCTGACAGTAGAGGCCACTTGGAGCCCCTCACATCTAGCTTTATTCTTTCCTTTCCTAGCAGAGGGTTCCTGATAGATAAGGCAAAAAGGGAAAGTGGTGGATCACAGCTGTATTCCACTGCAGCAGAGACACTTCCGGACAGGACTATGGGGAGAGATTCCCTCCCTGAACCCAGATTGGTGTGTCAGCCCTTGGGAGTCTATGGAGCCCTCCCCACCTGTGGAAGGAGAGAGGCGCAGCTTGGCAGCTCTAGGAGCAGAGTGTCTTGCGCAGTTAGGGTCAGGGCTTCCTTGGACAAGCTGGCCAGGCATGGCCGGTGCATTCCTGTCTTCTCAGCTACTCAGGAGGCTGAGGCAGGAGGGTTGTGAGTTTGACAGCAGCCTGGACGAGTTAGCAAGCGCTTGTCTCAAAATGAAAGTAAATTAAAAGTGCTGCAGTTCTAGCTCAGGAGGAAAAAGGAAAAAAAGAGAAGACAGCCCGTATAGCTGGACTGGTTGGGCACTGCTCAGAGGCTTGCGTCCGTGCGCGCGGCTCTGATCTCTGATCTCTGATCATGACCGGCGTTCCTCTCACACTTCAAAGGCCTTCTTCCCAGTTTCCTGACATTGACCTCATTTGCGTTTTTCAGGGCATCTCCTATTGTCCTGGTCTTTGCCGGTTGCCGAGATTGTAGTTTGGGCAGAGGAAGTGGTGGGACTGAGGGGTGCTGTAGTGAGTGCAGGGGCACAGAGGGGCGTGGGCTTCTCTGGGGGGCCCATCCTTCCCTTACCCCACCCCAGCCCCAAGATGACCCCTCTGCCGCCTCCCGCGCAGCACCAGCAGCAGGTCCTGGGCGCCATCGAGAGGGCCAAGCAGGTCACTGCCCCGGAGCTGAACTCCATCATCCGGGTAGGTGCGCGGTGGGCGGGGTAGGTGCGCAGCGGAGGGCGGTGGGCGGGCCGGCGGCCAGGGCTTGGCGGGTGGCCGCGACGCCCCCTTCCTGTGCCCCGCAGCAGCAGCTCCAGGCTCACCAGCTGTCGCAGCTGCAGGCGTTGGCGCTGCCCCTGACGCCCCTGCCCGTGGGGCTGCAGCCGCCGTCGCTGCCAGCCGTGAGCGCGGGCACCGGGTTGCTGTCGCTGTCGGCGCTGGGCTCCCAGGCTCACCTGTCTAAGGAAGACAAGAACGGGCACGACGGCGACACCCACCAGGAGGATGACGGCGAGAAATCCGACTAGGCGGCGGCTGCGGCGGCCGGGGACGGGAGGGCGGGAGGGGAGACTGAGGCACAGAGAGGCGGGCGTGCAGAGCGCCAGCCAGACAGCTCCGCTCTGGATGGGCGACACTCTGGTAGTATTTATGGTCACCGCCGCCGCCGGCTGCTTGCTAGCCACCCTTAGATCTCCTCCCCAGCCATCCCGGCTCTCCCACTCTTCTCCCCGCCCCCTTGAGGCAAGCTGAGGGCTGGCCAGAGTTGGGGACCAGACCCCGCCCCGCAGGGTGCAGAGCAAAGCCTCTAGCATCCTGGCGCCCCACGCGCCCCTATGGCACACACCAGACAGTCTGGCCTCACATAGGCCCTCGGATGAAGCTACAGCGCCCACCCTGGCACTGCATGTACTCGACGCTACCAGCCCCTTCCCTGCCTGGGCTCCCCGAATCTGCCCCTGCCCTGGGACCACTCTGCTCCCTACACCTGCTCCAGTAGCTGGAGTCGCCCCCAGCCCACCCCATCCTCTGCCCTGCCCCATGGAAGAAGGGGTCAGAGCTGGGCATGATGGCTCATGCCTGTCAGCCCCCTGGGAGGCTGAGGCAGGAGAGTCTCAAGGTCCAGCCCAAGCTGGGTGACCTAGTGACTTAAAAGAGCCTGTCTCAAAGTAGAAACTACACAAAGGGGCTGGGGATGGGGCTCAGCGCCAAGGCCCTGGGTTCAATCCCCAGTACTGAAGGAGGGAAGTGAGTCTAGCCGGGACCAGCAGGGTGGGGGCGGCACCCCAGGGATTTCCTTCTCCCCTTCCCAAATAAAGATGAGGGTACTAAAGTTGTCTTGGTTATTTTATTATTTTGGTTTTTATCTTTTTCCTGTAACACTAGCCTGTCTTCTAAAAAAGGAGATATATAGAAGAAGAGACAAAATTTTAAGTCCCTGCCCCAGCTGTGTCTGTGTAGTCAGTTGCCTTTGATTTCGGGAGAGGGGAAAGTGGTGTACGGAGGGTGGGCTAGCTGTGCCTTTCAAATAAAGACGTGAGAAGGTTGGTGGCTGTGTCCCTGCCTCTGTGTTGTGGGGGGTGGGGCCAGGGCTTCCAATCCAGTCACCCTCAGGTTTCCTCTGGTTCGTATCAGGGTCTCAGGGTGGAACCCAGGCCCTTGGCTGTGGACTCCACCCCCAGCCCTTTAAAATCGTCCCAGGTGAGGTTGTGCCAAGTTGACCCAGCTGGCCTTGAACTCATGGCAACCCTCCTGCCTGAGCCTCTAGGGCAGCTGGGGTCCAGAGGTGCGCCGTTGTATCTGGTTTAGGCCTGTGCTCTGGACAGTGTGGGCAGAGGGACTCAAGGACCACATAGTGCATGGGGGGGGCAGTGTTCTTAGAAATGGGTACTCGGCCAGACATGGTGGTGCACACCCTTAATCTCTGCACTTGGGAGGCTGAGGCAGGAGAATGACTGCAAGTTCAAGGCCATCCTGAGCTATATAGTTGAAAGACAGCCTGAACTGCATACTGAGACCCTGTCCAGAAAAAAAAAAACAAAACACAGTTGTCCCTCAGTTTTGGCTTCAAGAAAAAGCCTGCAGGCTCTCATCTTCACTCAAGCTGGCCTACACCTGGGGAAGCCCATAATCCGCCCTTCGTGGGGACAGCAGCTTGGCCACTGTGGGACTTGCCTCAAGGAGACCCCAGGCTGCCACCCAGGAAGTGGAGGGCCAGACAGCAAACCCTGAGGGACAGCAGCTGCACACCTTGCAGAGGGAGGTTGGGTGACCCTGTCATCCCCTTACTCTGGGAGGCTGAGATGTGAGAATCCCAAAGATGCTGTCTCAAATTTTTTTGAAAAATGAGCGGGATGTAGCTCAGTGCCTAGGCTCTGGGTTCCACCCATGCCTGTCCACAAAGACCAGGACAGCTGGGCAGGGCCTTGGGGCACCTGGGTCCCTGACCCCTGGCAGCTGCAGGTGGGTGAAGTCACCTCCCTGAGGGTTTCTAGAGACCCTGCAGGGAGGAGGGAGCGGAGGCGCTGCAAGTACCCCTGTCTCAGCGGCTTGCAACCTTGGTTAATTGATCGGCTAATGGCCCCTGAGCCGGCGCCTAATGAGGCAGGGAGGGGAGAGGGGAGGGGTGGGGTAAAAGGTGGGGGAAGGGCAGTGATGAGCTCAGCTCCTGCACAGCCTCCCAAGGCACAGTGCTGACCTGCAGGGAGGTGACCCTTTCAGATCATCTCATCCTCTGGACCCTGTGGCACAGGACACCTGTCATCCCAGTACTCTGGGAGGCTGATGTAGGAGGGTCACAGAGTCAAGCCCAGTCGGGGCAACCTGGCAACCTAAAGGAGATCCTGTCTCAAAAAAATAAAGCAGGCTCGGGGCTGGTGAGATGGCTCAGTGGTCTAAAGCACCTACTTGGAACAAGCTTAGCAAAGCACAGGGACCGCGGTTCAATCCCCCAGCACCACATGCCTGCCAGCCCCGCCCCCTGGTGGGCTGAGCTGCCCCCCCACAAATAAATAAATTTAAAAAATAAATAAATAAATAAAGCAGGCTCAGAGACACCAAGTGCCTTGCCCAAGGTCTCACAGCCAAGGAGCCAGGATTCAAAAGCGGGACATTCAGCATCTTGGCCAATTAAGTTTCTGAGAGGAAACATGAAGGTCTGGACCAAGTGACTGCAGGGAGCAGGAGGATGGGAGCTGCGGGTTCCAGGAGGCAGGAGGCAGGAGTGGCTGGCAGTCTCCTAGGATGCCAGGCCCTGCCTGCCCCTGTGGACCACCTTCCTTCAGGCCCCTCCAGGCTGCCTCCCTGTGCAGGGCTGTCCTAGCCTTAGCCTCCTTTGTCCTGCACCCTGTATCTTCCTGGCATCTCGGCCTCAGATGCCCCCACCTTGGCACTTGGAAAAGAGTGTGGCAGAGCCAGCAAGATGGGTGGAGCAGGCCAGCGTGGGGCACTGCCAGGGCCTGGGAGCTGAGGCACCTGGGAGCCACGGGAGGTGCTTGAGCAGGGGAGTGCTGCCCAGAAATGGTAGATGGCTACCAAGCTGTTCTTAAGCTTTTGAGTGGGGCCAGGCTGCAGGGGAGACTGAGGCAGAAGCTCCAGAAGAGGCCTTTGTGACAGGAGATGTTTTCTGATAAAACCTGTAAAAAGCCAGGGAGCCAGGGAGCCAGGGAGCTGAGGCGGCAGGACTGCCCGTTCAGGGACAGCCTGGGCCACTCTGCAAGAGTTGGCCTGTGGCAAATACAGCTGCTTCAAAAGGGAACCACAGTGACCCCAGGCCCTGCCTGGCTGAGGATGGCCCTAATGTCCTCCCAGAATCCCTTGGTGACTCTGGGCCCAGTGAGGTCCTTTTGCTCCCAGATGTGAGGTGTTCTGGGTGTCTCCTTGTGTCAGGCTGGAGTTGGGCATCAGGACCCAACCACCCCCTACCCCAGAACATAGGCTGGCAGGGAGAAGAGGCAAGTTAAAACAATAAATACAAAGCCCAGCATCCCAGCACTCTGGGAGGCTGAGGCAGGAAGACTGCCACTGCCACCACCAGCACCAGCACCACTACCACCACCACCCCCCAGCTCAGAAGGGGTATTAGAATTTAGTTAGATTGGGGCCGGGGAGATGGCTCAGTAGAATAAGCGTATCCCTGGCAAGTGCAAGGGCTTGAGTTCAACCCGGTTCTGCAAAAAAAAAAAAAAAAAAAAAAGAATTTAGCTAGATATGCCAGGCACCCCTGGTTTGCATGCCATAGCTGGAGGGGTCACCTATGAATCACAGCTTGGGAGGACCTGGCATCCTGGCCAATATGCTGGGCAACCCTTGGGTGTGCTGTCCCTCTCTGGGCTTCCCCATTTCTCTCCAGTGTAGCCAGCCCGGGGCTGGCCTGTGGCAAGCAGATAGTAGGGTGATGTCTGATCCAGTACCAGCAATGTACAAGAGAGCCGGTCACGGTGTGAACCAGGAGACAGCCAGCGTGAAGTCCCTGAGCGCAGCCCTGGCTGGTGTTCTGGAGGCGGATGGGGTCAGGGGACTCACAGCCCAGGAGCCTGGGTTTTATTATGGGGCGGGGAGCTATGCAATGTTCTTGAGCTGGGTGAGTGATGGGAGGTGGTCCAATTTTAGTGGGTGAACAGGAACAAGAGGGGAAAGAGGAAGAGAGAAGGTGCAGCCCGGCTGCTGGGTGTCAGGCATAGTGGGAGAGAAGGGCCCTTTGGAATAGCATGGGGGGGGGCACAAATGGCTCCCCCTATTAACATTCAAGAAGCGCTTTATGGAGGCTGGGCATGTGGTGCACACCTGTCATCCCAGCAAGCTGAGGCAGGAGGGCCACCGTGAGTTTGAGGCCAGTGTGTGCTACATAGCGAGACTGCCTCTCGCTATGTACTTTTATCTTTCAGGAAGATTCTGATACCAGCTCTCTCTGTGGTGTGTGTGTGTGTTTTTTCCCCCCAGCTTCTTTGAGACAGGCTCTCCCAGGCTGGCCTTGAACTTCTGGCAACGCTCCTAGTGCAGCCTCCTCAGGGCTGGGGTGACAGGCGTGGCCCCAACACGGGGCTTCGATGCCACTGTTCCTTTCCAGCATGAACCAGCTTGGGCCCATTGTGAATTTAGGAGCCAGGGAGATAGCAAGGCTCTGCCACCCACGGGTGTCCACTCCCCCTTTCCACAGCAGGGTCAGGCCTGCCGGAGGCTCCCTCATCTTTCTCCTGCTGCTTTACACCACCGTCCGGCATCTAGGATCCTTTCCACCGTCCCAAGCAGGGTTCTCGTGCCTGGTTCCACATGCCCACCTGCTGGTGTGGTGCCATCGTCCCCAGTGTTGAGTGCATGGGGCCCTGGGGCTCTTCGGTCTCCCCTTCCTCTCTCCCCTCAGTCCTATACTGGGAGCTGAACCCCGGAGTTTCACACTAAGCTCCATCTGCAGCCCTTTTAACTTTGGGGGCCGGGTCTCCGTAAGTCGCTAAATTGCCCAGACTCGACTAGAGCTTGAGACCCTCCTGCCTCAGCCACCCAGAGCTGGGATCACAGGCCTGCGCCACCAACCGCGCCTGGGCCTCCTCCTAAACTTGGGAGCCCCCACTTTGAGTCTCTATGCTACCTCGCCAGGCTGTTCCCTGCACAACAGCCAAGATAATTGCTTTTGTGCGTGAATCTCGACCACAAATAAGGAAACCAAGGCTCAGGGAGGGCCACAGTCTCCAGCTGGGGGAGGGGGCTTCCCGTGAGTGTGTGTGGTTTTTCCACGGGGTGGGGGTGGAGGCTGTGGGCTCTCGGCCAAGGGAGACGGAGGAACTGAGGCTCACAGAGGTCACCCGCAAGCCCGGGGCCCAGCTGGCTGGTGGCCCAGCTGTTCGGCTGGGGGGCGCGGGAGGCCGAGGTTGGCGGTGTCGGAAGCCAAAGGCTTGGCCTCCCCGAGGGAGCCGCTTTCCCGGCCCGGGTCGGATCGATGGGCTGTAATTATACCGCGCCGGGCCCGGAGCCCGCGGAGAGGGAGCGGGAGCTGGCAGGAGGCAGTCGCGGGCGGGGGCGCGGGTTACAGACTGCGGGACCCACGTTACTTTGATTGACAACCCGAGCCAACGCGGCGCGCGCGCGCTGCTGGGACTTGTAGTCTTTCCCCAGAACACCAACGCCAGGCTTCTCTGTAGTCGGTGCTCGGGGAAACTGAGGCATGGCGCCCAACAATCTTCCCCCTTCCCACCTCCAATGTTTGCTCACCTCTCCTCCAACTGGGGAAGAAAATGAGCCCGTGTCATGAGCTTCCCAGCACCGTTAGGATTCTCAATTCTTCCTTGGGTGTCCAACCTGACTTTATTGCTCATTGCCTCAGTTTACCTATTTGTAAAATAGGGCCAAAAGCGCAGCTTCAGCTCTCGGGAGACAAGCCAGGCTCTAAATGGGCACATGGATTCTTGATTTTTAAGGGGAGAACTGTCAGCCTTAGCGGATGCCTCCCTACTTCCTGATAATAATTGCCCCGAATTCCACCTCCCATCCAGCCAAGCTCGGGCGTCCACGAGGGTCTGCGGGTGGGGAGGGAGAACCACACTCACCAGACC